GGGCCTGCCGTGGGCGGCAGGCCTGGGGGAAGGGAGTGATTAGGGAGATTTATGCCGCACGGGCGTGAGATTTGGGAGGGAGGAGTGGGTGGCGGGGCGAGGCTATGCTGTTGGGGCTAGGGAAGGCAGCGAGCGAGGTGGCAGCGACCGACCGCTCCTTGGGTCGTCTGCGGTACCAGCTCTGGACCTGTTGCCTAAAGGTCCTCAGCTTCTCTCCCTTCGTGGCAGGTCTCCTTCCCTTTCCAGATGTCGCTTGCTTCTTGTGCACATTTTATAATAAGAACCGTGTTTTAGCCCGAATCATTCTTAAATGCAAATATTTTGGCAAGCTGTGAGGAGTTTCCTTTCTTCCCTGCAACTTGTTCTGAAGTTGTAAATTGATTTTAGACGGCTGTGCTTTTTATTCGGGATGAATCTCTGGGGACGAGAAGGAAACAACTATAAATATTTTTATTTTAGGAAGGCAGTGATTAGAGTAGCAGCCTTTGAATAACTATTGACAAACTGGCCTAAGGGTGATTGAAGTTTCTATTTTAACTACGTCAGTGTGATTTTCTTTTTTCTACCCATTTTCTCCATATCATTTTCATTTGGAGTTTATTTTCCTAAATAAAAACGTCAACCCAAGAAAGCATCCCTAGTTGGGTCATTATCTTTTAATGAAAAAAAACTAGGCTGACTTGCCATTATTGTTTGCTGCTTATCTTTGAAATGAGGAGAGATTGAAATTTCATAGATTGTTTTAGAGTTGGAGGAGACCTTAAACAGAATTTAGTCCAGTTTCTTCGTTTTGCAGTTGAAGATATTGGGGCTTAGGGGGTCAAGTGACCTATCTAAGGTGACACAGCTAAGTTGTAGGTGGAGCCACAAACCCAGGTCTTAGATTCCCCTAGTTGTGTAAATTTCCTACTTCGTTTCAAGTCTTGTAACTGTTTTGGAATACTCTTGAGGTCAAGAGTTATTTTAGAAATGATGTTAATTGGATACAGAATGTGGAAGTACTGTCTCCAGTAAAGACATTTTTTTCAAACAAATCTACAAATGAAAACTATATATAATTTCTTCCAGAACTACACCAGGTTATGTCATTTAGTGCCCTTTAGTTGAGTGTTAAATGTTATCATTGTACCATATAATGTAGCACTAAATTTCTGCCACTGCCTTATATCAGATATTTGTGAGATGAATTCTGTTTTCTGATCTGATACATAAGAAGAGTGAATGATGTTAGAAGTGTATATAGGTAACCCAGGGAAGAGTCACAGAAAATACCTGGGAAGTTGGGAAAGATTATATGGAAAGGTAGTGATGTTGATATTTACAGATACTGATAGTGAAATTGAAAATTAACACTGGAGTAGGATAGTGGATAAAGAGTATTTATGCAAGGGGATTCAAGAAGTTTCCAGATGACTTTGCACTTAATTGAATTTTTATATATTTTGAAAAAGAGATTCTGTACAGAAACCTATGGAAATGTAGTTGCCTATACACCTCTTACATGGTTTTTCTTCCATTGTTTTACTATTTTATCGAGGCATGAATTATAAAAAACTGAGTTTTGTTGGGGTGTTGTAGAACAAAGCAATTAGAAAAATTAATCCATAAATAGAAATATCAAATCTTAACATAAAGCAAAAGGAAATATTCGGTAATTTACAGCAACTTTTGCAGATTTTCCTTTCATATTCTGATCCTTGGAGGGTAGGTATATCATTAGATGTTTGGCAGATGAATAACACGTACCTAGAGTTAAATTCTGCAGTAAAGATGCACAAACGGGGATTTGGGGTTTGTCTTTCCAGCTAAAATAAATTATTAATCCTGGTAACTGAGATGGATTCTTTATCAAGATATATTAGACCAAGAAAAATAAAGAAACTTTTGTGCTAATCCTGATTAGTGAGTTCATTGGTTTAGAAAAAAGAACTCTTCCTGAACATATATGGCAGATAAAAGAGCAGTTGAACGTTGAAAACATAACTCAAGTATGGATGATATTGGGGCCTGTACTCCAGATGAAGACAGGGCTAGCCAGCCATTTTCAGATAAGCATAGACTCATTGCATAGGGTCTTTGGCCACCTTGGTCTTATTCTTTCTACTTAAAGTTTCCACCATTTAATGGTGCCTTGGAGGAAGCGTGTTTATCACAAGTAGGTTAAAAAAAATACTTGAATTTTATCTTTTGCCAGCCTATTTGCATGGGGAAAGAGATAAGGCAGTTAAGTAAAATTTAGCTTTTAAGTGAAAGTTCATTTATCCAAGGTGTCTTTGCCATCCAGAATCATTTCTAGGTTTGGAAGCAGAAAAATGTGTTTACTTATTCAGTCATAATAAAGCTATGTAAATATGTGGATTGGACTTGCCCATCCAAGGCATTTCTTGGTTGAAATTTATTTTGGGCCTCCTTATCGCTGTGGGATGCTTTTACATCCCCTCTCTAGGAGTCTCTTTTCCTGAGAATCTGTATTTCTGCAAGGTCCCTTGTTATATAGACTGAAACCTTGTTGGTCTTTAATAGGAAGCTTACATGAAGGGAGAAAGTCTGCTGTTTTCACACATAGTTACCAAACTAAGATTATAGTTCATTTCTTTTCTCCAGATCATAATTATCAGATCATTCTACTCTTAGAAAACATTTCTGTACCTTTTGTAAGATTCTGAGGATTCACATCAGAAATTGGGACTCCAGGGGCCGGCCCGGTGGCTCACTCGGGAGAGTGCGGTGCTGATAACACCAAGGCCCCGGGTTCGGATCCCATATACAGATGGCCGGTTCGCTCACTGGCTGAGCGTGGTGCTGACAACACCAAGTCAAGGGTTAAGATCCCCTTACCGGTCATCTTAAAAAAAAAAAAAAAAGAAATTGGGACTCCAAATAAAGATCTTGTATATGTGAAAGCATTCCTTTAAGGCCAGGCTTTCTTGTTAATATTAGGATAGTGGTTAGACAAGGAAGCCCGTTTCTATTGTTTTTCAGCATATTAGGTCACAGAGTACAGAGGAAGCTTTTAGCAGTTCCAGATAAAGGACCTCACGGAAATCTGTGAAGCCGGTGGGACTCGGCTATTGATTAAAGGCAGCTTGTGAAACCAGGGCTCTCCTTTTGTATTAAACAAACAGACTTGTATCTTGAAAAAGATTTTTAAAGTAGAGGAAGTGCTTTCTAAAGTGTGAATTTTTGTGTTGATTTTAACAGCTTCTGAGAATAAAAATTATTTTCAACAGGCTTTCCATGCAAATTATTTCAGGATTTATGACTGTAAGACTTGAAATTTGATTTAGGTTGGGATTGTTGTAATTGCTTTTACTTGTTGATATTTTGGGGTTAACTAAATATGCTCATTTGCACAGTAATAGGAAGTCTGTTCAACAGTTTGTTTTTTGTCTTGATGGCTGGCCGGTATAGGGATGCAAACTCTTGACCTTGGTGTTATAACACCACTAACCAACTGAGTTAACCAGCCAACCTGTTCAGCAATTTTGTAGCTGATCATCATTGAAGTTATCAAATCCCTGCAGTTTTGCTGATATCAATGTGCTGAGTGTGTGCAATTCTGATGAAATTTAGAGTCCTTGGACCCCCTCTGTCCCCTGTGGGCTGTGTCACTTAGATAACAGCTGTACATATAATAAAAAAGGCATTGTTGTGTAAATAAGGGATGTCCAGAGTTCTGAAACAATTAATGAGTCCTCAAAAAAGTCCTTGTAGATGGATATGTAAAAGCAATCCTATTTTTTAGTCTAGTTGAGAGTAATATTCATGAACCAATTATTGGAGGAACACTGTGTTATAGAAAGAACTTGGACTTTGGAGTTAGACCTGGATGTGAGGCCTTCCTCTGCCACTTCAGTAGCTTTAAGACCTTGGGCCAGTTATTTGACCTCTCTGGGCTTATTAGATCTCAATATTAGAAAGGATGATGATAATATCTACCTAAAGGGGTATAGGGACGGTGGAATCCTATCATGGTGGTGTGCCACGTCTGTTAGGTATTAGGAACTTGGCAATGTAAATTTCTTCAGTGCTTCAAATTTCTTTGTAGATTTGGTGGGTTATCATAGAGTTGACTAATTGTAGGTGGTATGGCCTTCAAAGAAGGAATTCAAAGTGGTAGCTGTTTTAACATGGAATGTCTAGAATTCACTCAATTTTAAAAATCTTTGTTACTCAAAATAACTTGCTATGTGATGGATGGCAATCCTTTAGCGAGAAATCTGGTTTAAGTATAATGTATAAGCTGGTATTGTTACTTCTTGAAATTCATAGCGTTGGGGAACTATGCTAGAAATTTTTAGGATGATCTGGATTAGTCCGCTTTTATGTAATAAACCTGTTTTTGAACTTCAAGATGATTAAAGCTCTTGCATGTGAACAGTTGCTGGTTTTAATTTTCTTAAAGGAGCCATGAGTACTGAGTTTCCTTGATCCTAAACATAGTTGTATATTGGCACAAAGCGTCCCTGAAGGCAGCAAGGTTAACCCCTGCTGTGGTAGAATATGCCCCAGGGCTGACGCTTCCCCTTATAAAATGTTGTTTGGGGAGATGAATGTGACTGACTTTTTTTTTCCCCCCCAAAAGATGACCGGTAAGGAGATCTTAACCCTTGACTTGGTGTTGTCAGCACCACACTCTCCCAAGTGAGCCACGGGCCAGCCCCCGTGACTGACTTTTTTTCTTTCTCTCTTTTTTAAAATCATGTACTCTTGCAGTCTACTAGCTATCCTTTACTCTTTAAAATAATTTTATTTACTACTCAGACATAAGGAAAGGAATATTATAGAAGGGAGAAGCTGGACAAACCTTCCTGGTCTAGAACAGACTGCTACATCTAGGGTTCTTTTTAGATTCGGTTCTTAACTTTTCCTTGAATCTTCTTATGTGTTGTAAGAGAAAGCTAGGGAAATATGGTAAAATCGTTGTGTCGGTCAGGCAAAATATTGGAGTGATGTATTTTTAAATTGTAGCAAGTGACTAATTTGGAACCATGCCTTGGCATTACAGTTATTTGCCACAAAGAACAGGCATATTAGAAAAATTACCTCCGTGTTTTTAAAAAGTTTTTTTGCAAAGGTTAGCACAGTGCAGTGGTTCCAAATCTCATTTGATTTTATTGTGATTCAAGTGGGAAAGGTGAGAACTGTTGATGGCAAATGTCTCAGGTTGATGCCTGAAACCACAAGTGGTAAGTGCCTTTCATTCTCCCTGCCCATCTTGGTCTTGG